TTTTTTTGGGACAGAGCATGAACGGGGGAGGGGGAGAGAGGGAGACACAGAATCGGAAACAGGCTCCAGGCTCTGAGCCATCAGCCCAGAGCCCGACGCGGGGCTCAAACTCACGGACCGCGAGATCGTGACCTGAGCTGAAGTCGGACGCCTAACCGACTGCGCCACCCAGGCGCCCCGAAAAACTGTCTATTCGAGTCCTTTGTTCATGTTTAAACAATTTTTTAACGTTTATTTTTGAGAGAGAGATAGAGACAAAGCAGGAGTGGGGGAAGGAGAGAGAGAGAGAGGGAGACACAGAATCCAAAGCAGACTCCAGGCTCTGAGCTGTCAGCACAGAGCCTGAAGCGGGGCTCGAACTCACAAACCACGAGATCATGACCTGAGCCGAAGTTGGGCCCTTAGCCGACTGAGCCACTGAGGCGCCCCCTGGCCATTATTTTTTCAAATAAGCTTTCTGTCTTTTTCTCCCTTCTCCTTCTGAAACTCTTGTAAGATATACACTGTTTCACTTGATGGTGTCCCTCGCATTTGTCTCTTAAGCTTTCCTTGTTCATTTTTTTTTCTTTTTGCTCTTCTAAGTAATTTCAAATGACTTGTCTTTGAGTTCACTAATTCTTTCTTCTGTTTAGTCAAACTGGATACTGAATCCCTGTAGTGAAATTGTCCGTCAGTTACTATACTCTTCAGCTCCAAATTTTGTTGGGATTCTTCTCTATATTTTCTCTTTGTTGATACTCCCATTTTGTTCACATATCATTTTCCTGAGCTTGTTTAACAGCTTTATGATTATTTTGAATTCTTTGTCATGTAATTCTCATACCTCCCTTTCTACAGGGTCCTTTCTGGAGATCTACTTTGTCCCTTTGGTTGGACCATGTTTTTCTTGTGCCTTGTTACTGTGTGGTAGGATCTACACATTTTAAGCAACAGTCACCTCTCCCAGTCTTTACACACTGGCTTTGTGCAGGGAAAGACCTTCACCAATCAGCCTAGCTAGAGATTCTGGGAGCTGTTACTGAGGATATGTCTTCTCTGGAATTAAGCGTGAATTCCCAATTTGAGAAGTTTCACAGCTTCCTTATTCGTGAGCCTTCAATTTCTTTCTCCCTCTGGTGTCTGTCTATGGTACTGCAGGTTCTCTGGAGCTGGTGTAAACTGTCCAGCTCCTTCTCGTTCTCCGCGGTTCCTGGGCATCTAGAGTACGGTGGGTCTCATCAATGCTGAGCTCGGCAAGAAAGAAACCAGTCCCTTAAAAAACCTCCTTCCCCAAGAAGCTAGAAACTGGGTACATGCTCCACTCTTCCTTTCCCTGAGAAGCTGCCAAGCTGTATCAGCCTCTGCCTCCATCTGTGTGAACTGTGGGTCCTCTGGGGTGGTAGCCAGCCTCTCGGCTCTCCTGTGTTCTCAGAGGCATCCAGGCATCTAGAGCATGCAGGATCCCGTCAGTGCTCTGAGTCCGGCGAGACAACAACCAGTCCTGTAGACAGTACTCCCAAAAGCCGGAAGACTGGACACACGTTCCAACTCTTTCCCTATTCCCAGGGAGAAGCCAGAAGTTGGGAGTTTTTCTCTAGTTCTTTCCACACTAAGTTGAGGGGAAGGGCAAAGGTACAGGAGCGTATGCTAGTTTAAAATACTGCCTTTGGGGGTGCCTGGGTGGTTCATTCGGTAGAGCATGCAATTCTTGATCTAGGGGTCGTGACTTCAAGCCCCATGTTGGGCACAGAGCTACTTAAATTAAAAAAAAAATAAAATCAGGGTGCTTGGGTGGCTCCGCTGATGAAGCATCCAACTTCGGCTCAGGTCACGATCTCATGGTTTGTGAGTTCGGACTCTGTGCTGACATCCCGAAGCCTCCTTAGAATTCTGTGTCTCCCTCCCTCTCTGTCCCTCCCCTGTTCATGCCCTGTCTCTCTCTCTCTCTCTCTCTCTCTCTCTCTCTCTCTCAAAAACAAAACACTGAAAAACTTAAAAAGTAAATAAATAAATAAAACGTAGTAAGTAAATAAAACGTTGCCTCTGTTCGCAGCAGCCTCCAACCTGGTGCCCCTTCCTGTCAGTGCTCAGATTCAGGAAAGACAGAAGCCAGCCCCTTGGGTAGCTGCCCAAGAAGTCTGGATGCCAGATATATGCTCCAGTCTTTCCTTTCCCCCCTCCAGGGGGGAAGCTAGGATTTAGGGGTTTCCTGGATGTGCAGGTGGGAGTGGCTCTGGCAACAGAGTTCCATGGATGTTTCCATAGGCTTTAATACAGCTGGCTTTGCACTGTTTGGAATGAGGGAACCTCTTAACTGGTTTCTAAATTTCTCCCAAAGGGAACTGGTCTGTGTACTGCTCATCAGCGTTTCGGGGGGGGGAGGGGGAGGGTCTGAGGCTGCTGACTGTGCCATCTTCTTGACATTACCCCAAATCATGTTTTGACCACTTTTCCTGCAAGTGACTGACTTCATCCAGACTGGCATTTCATTGACCAAAAGAAGTTACATGACCACCTCCAAGTTCAACAGGGCACGTATATCCCTTCCACAGAAAGGAAGCGGAATATTTGATGTTTCTGCATCAGATCCTTTAAGAGTAGGCTTCATGCCTAGTGTGGAGTCCAACATGGGGCTTGAACTCATGACCCTGAGATTGAGACTTGAGCTGAGATCGGGAGCCGGAAGCTTAACTGACTGAGCCACCCAGACGCCCCTCTGCTTCAGATCTTAAAAGCCACGGGGAGACTTTCACTCACATCTCAGGTTGGATGTTCTCAAGACACTCACAGGACACTGTCAGACACATGAGCGTAACTGTCTTTGGAGAATAATGGCTGTACCTTCAGTCTTCCAAATTGTGTATGAACACTTTTATCGGCAGGGTCTAATTTGGAATTCTATCAGCAAGTGCAGTTCCCAGCTCCACCTTAGGCAATTCATGGAGACTCCACAGTTGGTGGCAGTGATGTGCATCTTTCACCTGGACTACACAACAGCCAGAGAGACCTCCCTGTTACCTGTCCCTTTGTCCCCCCTCTCTTACTGGTGCTCCAGGCCTGCATGGCCTGACCCCACCTAGGTCTGTAAGCCTTCAGTATGCTACTGTTCCTCAGACCTAGAATATTCCAACATCTTCACTTCCCCCCACACCCCTACCTTTCCTTCCCTTGGCTACTGGGGCCTCCCCAGGCATTCTGGTGCTGGGTGCAGGGGAGGACACACAGGGCAGACAGGTACTACGCTTAGTTCCAAAAGCCGGAGACTACTGGGACAACTGTTATAGCAACAGCCTGCAGTGGGGATAAATTATTACATGGACACATTAGTTCTAAGAATGCATTCAGATTTTACACAGAAATGTGAATGCTGAAAACAAAGGGAATAAAGTTTCGTCCATTAGTTTAGTTTCTTCCTCCTTTTCCAATGACTACTTTCATTTCTCCCCTCTCTCATAAGGCAGAGATATTATAATGTTCAACTCTCGTCATGCTATTTTCTTTTTGAAAGTAGGCTCCATGCCCAGTGCAGAGCCCAATGCAGAGCCCAGTGCAGGGCCTGAACTCACAACCCTGAGAAAAAGACCTGGGTGGACGCTTATCTGAGCCACCCAGGTGCCCCTCTGGTCGTGCTATTTTAGAAAAATGGTTTAAAAATACTTGTCTAGGTTGCTGCCCATATTTATCAAAAGCTCTAAGTGGTTTGTAAACAGTTAACACATTTACATTTTTATTTTATTTTTTAAAAATTTAACGTTTATTTATTATTGAGAGACAGAACATGAGCGTGGGAAGGGCACAGAAGAGGAGGAGACACAAAATCTGAAGCAGGCTCCAGGGTCTGAACTGTTAGCACAGAGCCCAACGTGGGGCTCGAACCCACAAACTGCGAGATCATGACCTGAGCCGAAGCCGGATGTTTAACCGACTGAGCCACCCAGGCGCCCCAATAGTTGACACATTCTAAAACACTTTTAGTTAACAGAGGAGCCTAGTTAAAAAGAAGAAACATTTTCTGCCACGAGGTGCTTAGATGGCTTCGGTCTCACCCGACACAATCAGTTCTCCTGAGAACAGTGAATAATCAGATGCGACAGAGAGGATGCCATGATGCCCAGTCCTTTAATCAAAGCAGTGTCACTTGGACTTCGAAAGCCACAGGGAGGGAGGGGGAGAGAGAGGGAGAGGGAGAGGGAGAGGGAGAGAGAGAATGTGTGTGTGTACACGCATATGTGTGCACACAGGGGAAGTATTTGAGCACAGCAGGGTAGTGAAAAGAGCAATCAAGAAAAATGCTGGCCCAGTAGAAGAAACTAGAAACCCTTCACGTTTGACGTGAAGCTATCTGCCTTCCTAGGAAAAGGTATAAAACAGGGGTCCAGAGCTTTGTGACAGGATTCCACACGTGGCCCGTTTCTCTGTAACCAAGTCAAGCATGATTCACAAGTGGTGATCTTCATTTGCTTTCACGAAAAGCAGAGCACACAAATCCTGCTCACAGGTCAGCATGCAACCAGCCACTATCTGGGCCATTAGTGTTGTCCGCAATACCATAATTCAAATATGAATACGGAAGAACATGTGCCTCCCTACCTTTCGGCAGCGAGGATTGGGACAGCTGAACCTCTTCACGTCGCTGTCCAACAGGGCCGGAAAGCTACAGGAGGGGCACCTACGATCAAAACGGCAGAAGGAATATTGCTCAGAATACGGAAGCCTGACTTGCTCCCTGTGACCGTTCCCACGAAGATGGGGTTTTCGGCGGGACAGCTGTATCTCCTGACTTTTAATTAAAACATGGACTGAGGCTCTCCATCATGCTGGCTCTTATCAGGAAATGCAGGTGCCACTCTGAGTCCTGCCTCAGTGTAAACCACTCCGTAAACACAGACCTTCTACCTTTGTGAGAACGCCTCGCACCTATGTCATCTCTCCCCCAGCCCCCCAACCCCATGTGTAATGACAGTCCTATAAACCAAGTGACGAGAGGTGCAAGGAATGTGGTTACAAACATGAAAGGCAGATCTTCCCTTAGTAAAATTATTGTTACTGCTCAGGAGAACACTGCCAGAAGACCTGGAAGATCCAGCTTTGTTACAGAGGTTTCGTCATCTGTGACAGTGGTCAGGCAGTCTTCCGAACGGGGACTGAGATCACAGATGACAAGCTCCGGCTCAGAGGACTCACCTGACAAGCTCATCGGCGTAAGCGGCGGCCACTTCTTCTTCCGCTTTCCGTTCGTAGTACTTATACAGGACGGTCTGGGGAAGCACCTTCTCCAGTTCGCTGGCTGGGAATGAACACGTGCAACTGCCCTCCATGCAGCTGAGCTCTGACTAGAATCGGAAGGTCAGGAGACGAAGAAAGAAAAGAAAACTCAACCAAGTTTTCAGAAACACAGAAGCCTCAGTGGTTCAATGTATTCCTCAACGGGAAGCAAATAAATAGTGGATAAGAAGGAGATCACACTCAAAATAAGGAAAGCATGAATAAACCCTACAAAGTCCATCTCTGGTGGCACCAGAGGGCCCATCACAGTCCAAACCACAGGGACACGGGAGAGTGACGAGGAAGGACACGGCACAGTGTCTGAAAAGGAGGGATTTGTGAGAAGCGAACGGATTCCCTCCACAGGCCCTGAAAAGGTTGGAGGTTGAGACCACACGGGAGGCGGAGGTGAGTGGTACAAGGGACTGACGAGAGTACAGAGTAGAGCTCTTCCAGGAGAAAGGACAATGGCCTCCGGGACAGCTGCACCCGAGGGCCCTGGACGTTGTCTTCAAAGCCACCAGCAGCTCACCGAGTCCTTCCCACGTCACGCCACGTCCTCTTCTGCTCTTGCATCCATTTTTAAGGACTCCTGTGATTACACTGGGCCCGCCCGGATAACGCAGGGTCGTCTCCCATTTCAAGGCCACCAGACTAGCAACCTTAGCTCCCCTGTGCCATGGAGGTAACATTCCACAGGCTCTGGGATGAGGACATGGACGTCTCTGGGGAGGCCATCATTCTGCCTGTCACACCGCTCTGCCCCCGTTACTCAGTTCTTGACTCAAGTACAAGCAACTTTAGAATAACTGAGGCTGAGTGGTTTGATTATTGGTTAGGCATTCACAAAAAGCAATTTTGGGTTTTAGGTATTTATTAAGACAAAACTCCTTCCCACACCGTGTTATGCTAACGTCAAGAGACACCAACTCTGGACAGAGAAATATGATCTTGTACGGTTGTTCATTTTTTTTTCCAAGCCTACTTACCTATTTTTAACTAACCTCTACACCCGATGTGGGGCTCAAACTCACGAGCCCAAGATCTAGAGTCACATATTCATCAGACTGAACCAGCCAGGCGCCCGACAGTTATTCATTTTAACGCAACTATCAAATTCTTCAAAAATTTTATTAAAAAAACCCCCAACAACACACTCTCACATATTCACATAGCTACAAAGACCTCTGAGTTCAGGCTTTTTGTTATGAAAATGAAGATGAGTGAAGGAGGTGCTCCTGGAGCAGGCACAGGGGGGCACCGGGCACGGAGAGTGACGCCACTCGCTTACGACACCATCGCTGCAAGCAGGGACCGCCTAGGAATCCCACACACGCCAGCCTGTCTCACCCCCCAAAGGGCCATTCCACGGGGCATGTGCACTGGTAAGTGTGTCGCATCCTCTGTGAACACCTCGCACGCGTGGACATGTCCCATGTTCTCACCTTCCCAGATCCGAAGACGGCCTCTTGGGCGTATCTGATGAGACACTCTTTGCAGAACAAGTGCGCGTCCGCACACTGCGTCAGCTCCTCAAACGGAAACTCCCCGTAGCAGCAGCGGCACTCGATCAGCTGGCCGTCCTGCGGGCCGTCAGAGACACTCGTGAGACGCCCCGCGCGGAAGCAGACGGGCAGCTACGGGCCACGGTCCCCCATCCCCAAACACGTTCTGAGGTAAAAAGCAACCTTCAGACGCCATCAAACAATGATGAATTGTTCTTTCCTCCCTAAGTCTAGCCCGAGATGCTAATACAAATAGTAATCTATAACCGGAGACAGGGAGAACCGTCATGGGTTTTTATTCCTTGGAGGCATCCTTTGTACAAAGTTACCGTATCAGGAATCCCATGTTGCCAGTAGAGCGAGCACACCTATTCTCCCGACGCTGACATGATTACACGAGTCAGGGGAAAGTGGCATGAAGGATGTTATTGCGAAAAGCTTCAAAAAGTAGGTTTTGCTCTCTTGTAAGAAGGCAGGAGTGTGAGGGGCTGCATCTGAGCCCCAGCTCTATGTGCAGCGGCCCCTGAAACTAGCTAGTGCAGCAACCTCCGGCACCGTGAGGACCGTGAACTTGCTCCTCTCGCTAATGGTAGAGATCGAGCCAGTCACCAGTCCATTCCCTCTGTGCTAGAAAAGGCCGCTACATGAGGACAGCAGAGAGCGTACAAGTCACCTGGTCCTCAGGTCAGACACGGCGCTTCCTTCTAACCCTTTGGCACCAGAACTAAATTTGCCTCTAAGAGCCTAACGGATTCCAGGCAATGTTTTTCAAGACGAACAATTCTGTCATTCTCTCTGCTTCGATTCTGACCCAGTCTGGGATCAAGAGTGCCAACCATGGTTCAAGTATCTGACTGCAAGTTGGTTGAACCACAAAGTCAGTACATCAACAGGTTATACAGGAACCAAAATCTGCCACCGGGAAATGTCGTAAAGAAAACAGGTCACGTAAATACCCAGAAAAAATGAATTCGTGGGATTTCAAACTACCTTTTGATACTGTTCTTCATTCATCTGCAGGGCAAGCAGAAAGTCTTCATGCTGGGGAACAAAAAAATAATACATGCAGATACAATTTAGGAAAGATGCCACAAGCATTTAGCATTTACTTTCATAAACACAAAAGGACTCAATTACGAAAAATCATCTCTTCGCTTACACGGTGTAGTGGTTTAAAAAGTTACCTCAGAGTAAATTTAAAATGCACCAGAAAGCTAAATATAAAAAAGGAAACCGAACAAATACTGGAAAATATGGGGGAAGCTTGCTTACATCGGATTCAAAATGTGGAAGGAATGAGGGAAAATCCGTGTACATAACACTTCTGAACAGCAAAGACTAGTGCAAGCAAACAGGAACGTGAACGGGCCACAACCTAGTCTGACCCGGTGTTTTGTCGGCATGGCTGGAGCGACGCAGGCACTCCGCTCACATGACCGCTACGGGCACACCTAGCACCACAGGACTAAGTTACGTGAGCAATCACCCTTTGACTCATCACCTGCACTTCCAGGAACGTATCCCCAAGACGCTCTGGGGCAGAAAGGAAATCAGGTACACGTGGGGGTTTTTACCACGGAAACACCTTAAACGTCCACCAAGAGGAGTCACCGAATTAACACGGGTAATGCAGAAAACTGCACACCAGGCGGTTTTAAAAAGGAAAGGAGAATCTCTGGCTTGCCTAACAGTGACCAGCAGGGTGCACTATTAAGTTTACAGGCAAGGGGCAGAAAAGTGGGCTGCCTTCCAGGTAAGAGAGCAAGAACAACAGAAAACAACCTCCTCCCAATAGATCTGCTTCTACATAAAATAAGGAAAGACAGACTAAAAACTATTAATAATGGTTACATATAGAGGGACTCAGGGGTCATGGGAAGAAGGGACAGGACAGAAGGTAGGTCTCTCTGTTCCTTGTTTTACAGTTTTGACTTCAGAACTAAAAATATTTTATAAAATCAAATAAAAGCAAATAAAAAACCAACTCCATAAAACTTACAAACTTGTTTATCATTTATCATATCAAAACCCCGCTGTTTATCAAGTTAATGGCATAACCACATAGACTTATTTCAAGTGACTTTTTAAGTAGGGGCGCCTGGATGGCTCAGTTGGTTCAGTCAGTGTCTGACTCTTGATTTTGACTCAGATCATGGTCCCAAGGTCATGGGATTGAGCCCTGTGTCAGGCTCCATGCTGAGCGTGGAGCTTGCTTGGCATTCTCTCTCTCTCTCTCTCTCTCTCTCTCTCTCTCTCCCCCCCCCCCCCCCCACTGCCCTTCTCCCTAGCTCACACTCTCTCCTGAATAAATAAAAACAACAAAAAAAGATTTTTAAGTCTGCATACCACAACGTGGGGCTTGAACTCATGAGATCAAGAGTCGCATGCTCTTCCAACTGAGCCAGCCAGGCACCCCTTAAAGGGCCATTCTATACTAAGCCCTAAGAGCAAACCAGAACCCCAGAAACACACCCCAAATCCACTCTCCTACCTCTGCCATTTCCTTGATTTTCTGCTCATAGAACTCCTGCTCTTGCTGCACAGCTGGAAGAAGGGCACGCCGGTCATAGGACCTACAATGTCGCCGCTTATTTTCCAGAAAGAACATCCTCTTTTCTATTTTTATGTCACCTGGAAGATATGTGACCACACAAGATCATGCAGACAGCTGTTGCTAGGAACGCAGGGCGGCCATCCCAGTCTTCTGGGGCCCAGTCCCCCCCCCACACCCTCAGGCAGTGCGTTTCTGACTCTCGAGAACACATTCTACCGTCTGGGAAAACTTGGTCCCTTACCGTTCCCTAACCTATCACGCACTTTTTGACTTCCATGTTTTCTTCCCCCTTGTTATGCTCCAACTGGAAGGGCCCTCCTGTCGTAGCAGTATTGCACCACGCGAATATACCAGTTTATTAGCCATTCTACCAAGGGCAGTTGGGTGTATAGTTTTGGGTTGTTAGGAACACGTCTGCACTTCAGCTGAGCACACGTGAAGGAGTGGACGTGCTGGATCATAGAGCTGCCTGTCTGCAGCTTCAGAAAACAGCACCAATTTTCCAAACAGTGGTGCCAAGCAAGGTACACTCTCCCTCCTCCGGCAATGCGTGCGAGCTCCAGTCACACCACGTCCTCAGCACCTGTGCCATCGGCCTGTAATTTTAGCCATTCTGGCAGGTGCCCAGGCATCTGATCAACGCTTTTTGAACTTTTTACTTTGAACACCTTCCTACAGAACAGCTCAAATAGTAGTACCTACATTCATGGTAAGCAACATTTAGAATAAAAAACAACAGAATGACAGATGTCAGACCATGTAATTGACCTGTTCAGGTTTTTTATTTTTGTGGATTTCAGAACTTACATTTTCCAGAAAACTGTCTATTCCACCCAAACCTTCTATTCTTTCACTAAAGTCTCTTCTTCATAGTATCTTTTGCTTTATCAATATTTTCTACATCAGGTTCCTGATACCTCTCCCCCACTTCATTCTTTTTAACAATTAAATTAGCTATTCCAGTACCTTGCCTTTCCCTGTAAATTTTAGGGTAAGGTTGCCTGTAGCCACCAGAAAGTCTTGCTGGGATTTTGACAGGAATTACATTAAGCTTGTGTATCAATTTGGGGAGGATTTACGTCTTTCCTATGCGGAGTCTTCCTGTCCATGAACACAATACACGTCTCCATTGACTTCTTTCTCCTCTGATTTCTTTCTTCAGTGTTCTGTAGTTTTTGTCACACAGGTCTTATAAGTGTTTTGTTAGATTTACACCTAAATATTTAATTTGGAGGTGTGGGGGAATAATTATAAATAGCATTGTATTTTAAACTTTGATTTCCACATACTCATTCTGGCATACAATTGGTTTTTGTCGGTTGACGTCGTACCCTGCAATGATACTGAACTTATTCAATAATTCTAGACGTATCCTTGGAGTTTCCTATGTAGACAATCACGTTATCTGCTTATAGGGGCAGTTTATTTCTTCCTTTCTGATCTGTGTGTTTACTTTACTCCACTAGCTATAATTTCCAGTACATGCTGAATAGCAGTAAATAGAAGACATCCTTCCCCTGTTCCCAATTTTAGGGGGCAAGGATTCACCATTAAACAGGACATTAGCTTTAGGTTTTCTTGCAGATGCTACCAAGTTGAAGAAGCTCCTCTCAAATTCCTGAGTTTTAATCATACGCAGGTGTGAAATATTATTAAACACCTTTTCTGCACCAATTAATATGATGTAATTTTTCTTCTTTAGTCTCTTAATATGGTGGATTATATGGATTGTTTTCCAAAATATTAAACCAGCCTTGCACCCCTGGAATATACTCGACTTGGTCACAGCACACAATTTTTTTGTGTATCTCTATGTCCTATTTGCTAATATTTTATTAGCGATTTTTGCATGTCTATTTACAGATATTGGTCTAGTTTTTGTACTGTCTTTGTCTGCTTTTGTTATTAGAAGATACTGTACAGAATTAATGTTCATTCTTCTAATTTTTTTTTTTTCAATGTTTTTATTCATTTTTGGGACAGAGAGAGACAGAGCATGAACGGGGGAGGGGCAGAGAGAGAGAGGGAGACACAGAATCGGAAACAGGCTCCAGGCTCCGAGCCATCAGCCCAGAGCCTGACGCGGGGCTCGAACTCACGGACCGCGAGATCGTGACCTGGCTGAAGTCGGACGCTTAACCGACTGCGCCACCCAGGCGCCCCTAATGTTCATTCTTCTAAAAAAGTTTGGAAGAATTTTCTAGTGGATTCAACTGAGGCTGGAGATTTCTTTTTTGGAAGACATGGAAAACAGTGGATTCAATTTCCTTAATAGCTACAGGGCTATCCAAATGATCTATCTGAACATGGGTAAGTCTTGGTAGTCTGTGTCCTTTGAGGAACTGGTCCATTTCACTTGTAAAATCTTTGTGTGCAAAGCTGTTCACAGTATTCACTTTGGCTGTCTGTAGGGTCTACAGTGATATCCCCCATAAAAGGTGCTAACTCCTAATATTGGCAATTTGTGTCTTATTTTCTTGGTCAGCTTTGCAAGAGATGATAGGTTGTATTTTTTATTAATGCTCAGTTTACATCCAAATGCTCCCAGAATCTTCATGAGAAGACTGTGTAGTTATCAACGGATTAAACCATAAACAGTGGAGGGGGAATCCTGTCTCCTCTTTGAGCCAAGCAAGGTACAACCCAAATAGCAGTGCTTGGATGGCAAACGGCTGAAAAGGTGGACAATGAGATTCCTGGAACAGATAGAAGACTCTGAGACTATCTGTACTTATAAGCTGCTGTGTAGAAAGGTTAAATGTATCTGTAAGTCATAAATATCAATGCTGTGTGTTGTCTCCACGCAGCAGACTCACGTGGAGTATGTCCACCCAGACTTTCAAAGAGCTTCTGACAAGCAGAGGAGACACACAGAGAAGGGCAGTCAGGAAGATGAAGCAGCAACAGACAGATTCCAAGTCTTCTCAGAGACAAGAACTACACCCATGGCAGGAAATTTCGGGAACATTTTGACCGGATATAAAAGAACTCCGTAAAAGACACAGCTGACCAACAAGGGAGTGGACCATCTTGCAAAGTGGCACTTTCTTTCCTCTACCACTCAAAGTTAGAAACCAATATGGAATGACTATGTACTTGGGATGCCTAGTCTAAACCGTGGATAAACTTAGCTGAACGAAGAACCACCTACACGCTGTCCCCACTTTCTTAGCCTTTGGCAAATGTGTGAGAACGTCATGGCAGGAGAGCAATGTACCACAGACTAGCTTGGGGACCTCACAACTCAGAGTCTATGGGTTTCCTCAAGAGCTCAGAAACCCAAACCCTTTCCAACTCCCTGGTTGCCTCCCAGAGTTTCCATTTAGTCACACCTGCAATCAAGTTACGTTAACTATGTGCAGATTTGAGAGAAAGACAAATAGAAAACAAAAGGGAAATAATCCTTTTTCTGACATAACCTATAGGAAAATTTTATGGCGGGCTCTTTTATTGGACACAAACGACTCGGATCACATCTGATGTAAAATCCAACAAGTTTACTTGGACCAGATCTGATGTAAAGTCCAACCCGAAGTGACCCCTCTGGAAGAGCTTTCAGAAATTATTTCATCAACAACAGAATGTCCAACAAACAAGTGGCTGTTCGGGAGCTGTGTGCTTTTCCCGTGCAGAAGCCACTTTCTCGGGCACACAGATAATCAATCTCTGGTCTAGATAATTTCACCAGAGATAAAGTGAATTCTTGTCACACCTTCAAGACCGGCCCCACCCCCCAAGTTTGAGAGTGTCCCCAAACACTTTCTCACACGTGAACTCTGACACTGCACAGAATGTTCTGGTCATGGTGTTCCCTAGGCAGAAAGAAGGTGGGCGGCAACCACAGCCACTTTCTAAACACATGGATGTGCTCTCAAAGCAGTCCATGCAGTCAGTCCCTGGGCTGGCCCGGCAGGGCGGCCACGCCACGACTGGCCTTTACGGGCTGTGTGGGAAGGAGACGGTCTGCACAGTCACTACACGGGCTGTGAGCAAAACTCAAAGTTGGCCGTTACCTTGTTCAAACTTGAAATCTATGTAAGAATACTGATTCATTTCTTTTCTCTTTTTTCTTTTTCCACTGGTTTCTGGTGATAGCTCCTGCCATTTTTTAATGGCATCAGAAAAGGCCTAGAAATTGAGAAAGGGAAAGGTTACCGCTGTAAATGGGACACAAGAATACACGAAAGCAAGCCAGGCAGCCCCAAACCTTCTCTGACACACAGTTTCAGCTATCTCCCCTGCATGGCTTACCAGAAACGGGCCGCAGCAAAATGAATAGGGAGCATTTCGTTATCTTCTCTTCTTTCATAAACTGCCACAAGGGCAGAAGCAAAGGCTAACTGACAAAGGGCGACATAAGGAAACACCAACTGTTCAAGCTGTCCTCGACTGCGTCCAGGGTAGGTCACCTAACAGATGGCTGACGAGTTCCACTCTACAGGCATACCCTAAATGGTCTACCTCTGGCCAACACTCCCCATCCACTTTCCACGAACATCCCCATGTTGCTTGCGGCTTCCCCTGAGTCCTCTCCCTGTACAGCACACTGCAAGGCGCGAGTCTTAGGCCAGCAGTAATAATCCCTTTTCTTCCATACCCTCAGCTTCTCTCTTTTTCATATCTTTCCAATTGATACTTCAACGTGTTCGAGCCTTTGCCATCTTAAAAAAAAAAAATCCTTCCTCCCCTTGCCTCTTTCCCCTTTCAGGTACCAGCCACCACACCCCAGCCCAAACCTGTCAAAGGTGCCATCTGTCCACTGTTTCCTCACCTCCTGGACGTCTTCCAACCCCTTCCCATCGGGCACCGAAGCCCATCTTTCAACTAGCTTACCTACTTGGTAACAGGAGGCAAACTCTAGACCCCGTGTTTTAGTCCCCGTGTCACCAGGCCTCTCAGCAGCACGGATGACGCAGACTGCTCTTCCCTCCCGGGGTCCCGCGCCCTCTCTGCCCACTCCTCCTCGCCACCCTCCTCTACTTGGCTTCTACATGCAGGGAGGCCTCCAGGCAGCCTCAGCTCTCTTCCTGTGCCTACTTCATCCAGGCCGGGGAGGTCACCCTGCGTGTGCTGATGACGCCCACCAACCCACTTCCTTTGGCCATTCAAGCATCCAGATGAATTCTTTGCACTTGTAGGCCTCACAGACCTCACTCAACATGCTGGCAACTCAACACTTTCCAGATGGAATTCATGATCCTTTCCCTTCCACTTAGCTCTTTTACAGTATTCCTCATCCCAGGGAGGGACATCCCCCCAAATCCCTCTCACTGAACTCCTACTTCTAGAACATTCAAGGTTTGTGCTTAATATCTCTTGCTCAGGGAGGTCCTCCCGGAGCCTCTTGGTCCACCTTAGGTCCTCCTGTTACACTTTTTCCGAGCACCTTACATTTTCCTTTCGAAATGCTGCTAACGGTAATCACACACTTATTTGTCTGATTCTGCTTCCTGTTTGTTATCCCCTCTACGGACTATGGGCTTCTGGGGGACAAGGATGGCTACCGAGCCCAGGCTGTATCTGCAGCGACCTGCAGAGTTTGCATTTCATACTCATTTGGTGAACAGTAAAAGGTTCAGGGATGTGTACGTGTTACAGGAATGTTGCTGAGAAGTCACATTCTGAATGTCTGTGGGGAGCAGCTAGGTTGGCCCTCTGGTAAAGTGAAAGCAAGAGAAAACGAGCATTCCAGCTCCAATAGAGGGAGCGTCACCCTTTCACCTTCACCTACCTTCCGTCCCTTCCTTTTCAAAATCTGAGGTCTGGGAACCTGAAGGGAATGGCTGTGCGCCTCCGCACGGATGCAAGCTAAGCCCTTCGTGAGGCATGGATACGGCTCATCTCACAGCACCCCCGAGGGAGGTGTTCTTTCACAGCAGAGGCAAGTGAGGCTTACGGACGAAGGACCTGCGCCCAGTCAAGTTGACTAACACTGGGATATGAACTCAGGCCAGTTGCACGACTAAACCTCCTTCCTCTCTTTGACACTGCCTGGTCCTCCCAGAGCGGTTCAGGGAGACCCACCAAGAGCCGGCCAACAGCACAGCTCATCTTACTGCCTTTCCATCTCCCCGGCCAACGTCCTCCCTTACTCTGTTTCCTCTTTTCGGAGTTCTGACTATCTGAGGTGTTCCCCACCAACACTTAAAGTCACACGTTTGTGTGGCAAGACCACTAATTCCTACCAAGTTTTACCTAGAAGTAAATGCTCCATACTTAAACCAGGGCTATCTGCAAAAACCCAGGAAAAAAGGCAGGGCAGGCACAATAATCTGAATATTATAAAGGAGGTGATCAAAGGGTAGATGCCATTTGTCAGCAACTAATGAAACCGGAATGTGAACTAAGAGCTTGTAACTGGCAGCCCGCTGGGTTTGCAACTGCACCACCCTCCTGTCTAGAAGTGAAATAGGATCACTACCTTTCTCCCATTTAAATACTATTTCTACTGGGGCGCCTGGGTGGCTCAGTCAGTTAAGCGTCCGACTTCGGCTCAGGTCATGATCTCGCGGTCCGTGAGTTCGAGCCCCGCGTCAGGCTCTGTGCTGACTGCTCAGAGCCTGGAGCCTGTTTCAGATTCTGTCTCCCTCTCTCTCTGACCCTCCCCCATTCATGCTCTGTCTCTCTCTGTCTCAAAAATAAATAAGCGTTAAATACTATTTCTACTTAGCAGGAAAAGAATCCAAACTGGTTCTTGTCAGGAAACTGTATCTTAAAACAGATGCTGCCAACAAATTAAGGAGCCTCCGAAATCTTACCTCAGTAGTTATATCAATCAGCACTTGTCTTAGTATTAACTAAACGTCTAGTGAAACAGACCAAATAAAATTATAAATCAGAATCCTTTCCTTATAGGAACTGCTAGAGTTCACACCTACATACCCAAAGGCACCGTGGTTACTTTTTCTTGCCTCTGCACTCAAGATTCCTCTAGTGAAAACACCCTTCCCTTACGATCTTGTTCAAATGACGCCCTCATTTCTTTCCTAGTGTTCTCGTGTACCTTTATTCACTCTTTTATAACACCATGTTGTTTTAATCATTTTTCCCCTTTTAATCTTCTCAAATAGACTGAAAGCTCTCTGGAAGGAAGTTAATTTGTGTTCTACAGAAGCCACTGTCCTTAGGGTCTAGGTGCTAACTATCACACAGGAAGTACTCAAAAAACCTACCAGGAGGAACACAGGAATACGAGATATTGAAGATCATTTTTCCTTTTACACTTAGCTGGCATTTCTCCCTCCAGCCTGCTCACATTCACAAATCAAATCCCCACTCAAGGTATTGGTCCTGAGAATCAAGGATACAATCTGGTAAGGATACAAGATTCTTAGGATATCTTGACAATAGCCAAAATTCCTTCAAGAGAGGACCTAAAAATACTACAATGGGCATTTGATGAAATAAAAGTTGAGAAGTGGCCAGAGACTCCTCTATGGAGGCTGGCCGAGGTCAGGTCTAGAAATGGGGACGTGTCGCCTGCATGGAGACAGAGGTGATCATTAAAGTACACAGGGGAGACATCTAGGAAGGCTGGGGAGTGGAGACACCCAGAATGAGCACATGGCAGAGGACTGAAGGGCTGATTAAAAGATGACACCGCCCACTAGTATTTTAAGCTCCAAAGGGGAAAGGATCTTGCAACTGTTCACTGTGACACTACTAGTGAATGGTCCGTAGCAAGCACTCAACACGCTGTTCGAATGAAAGAGTTAGATCTGTGGCAGAATCACAGAGGAAAAACTTGGAGGAGAAACCCAGCGGTACTATTGGCCACGTGTGAGTGTGTACACCAAGAGAAAGTTGTCAGGTCTAGAACACAGAGGATCAACCTCTGTCCAAAGGCAAAGGGAACTCCTAAGCTGACAGCTATGTTAAGAGGTGCAGAGGAGGAGAGGGAAAAAAATGAACTGAGGACTAATGGATAGGTTTGACAATAGAAGCGTGTTTTAGAGTTGTTGGCCATGAAAAGACAGCCACAGGATCAAAAAATAAAGCAACAACAAAAAAAGCAAATGAAAAAACCAGAGGCAACCAATTTTAACCCCAAGAAAAATAGAAAATTCAATAAAGGAAACATTATTGTAGTATATTATCTTCCCTAGCAGTGAACATTTACATAAATCATAACAAAAACTTTAAAAACAGATTTAACAAAATCACGTATCAAAAAGGTGAGTGTGTACGGGTAAGACGTAGATCCCCGTCTACTATAAAAGAAAACTAAAATAATTATTAAAACTAATAACTCAAGCATAAGCATGTGTTAATAAATGTGGAGATAAGTACTAGAAAGAAGACAGAGAGAGAGTCGAGTTGTCTCTGGAGAACAGAGGAAGAGGGTGAAGAAGGGGGCTTCAGACCTCGGTTTAAAGAATCACCCACCCCCCCCAAAAAAAAATTACAAATAAGCATTTTGGCACAAATTGATTTTTAAAACTATGGCTGAAAATTCCTTTGATAAAAATTAGCATTCATTTTACTAAGCAGTTCCTGCCGTGAGTTTTAAGGATGACCTGTTCCCTCTAGTCTAGAAGTTACTTATTTTTGAGAGCACCTTTGTCCCTACAGAGGGTAACAGCCGGAAGAAACATTACTGCAGCTGCACTGTGGTGTGCAAGAAACCTACCCACAGGATACGTCCATAAAAAGAGTTGAGCTAAAATATATCTGACCACACACGCACTGGGGACGAGTCTTCCTGAGCCCTTGGCCTCCATAGCACAGGCTGGGAACAAAGCAGAGTAGGCCCTCGGGTCCTAGGCCCCTCCAGGGGGAGCTCAGTGCTGTGAACTTAAGGAGGCCAAATCACAGAAGGTTCTTGTGCTCTTGTAATAGTACTCTGAAAACGGACTCTTAAAATCACACTGTGAGGCAGTTACCAAGTAATTTCTAAATACAGAGGCTTGACAAGTGTCCCACAGCACACAGAAGGAAGTGTGGAGGGAGGGAACTTCTTACTGAAACCTGATACATGCGAACCACTGTGACGGGCTCGCTCCACACTGTACCCAACCTGATTCTCCCATTAGCCACGTAAGGCATCCACTGTTCACCAAGAAAACTGAAGTTCCACACGTTTAACACATTTGCTCAAAATCAGAGACCTACCTGGTAGAACTGGAATTAAAACTCAAGGGGTGGGGGAATCAAACCTAAGTTTGATCAAGATTCTAGATCCAACTAGAATCGGTCGGATATGTTAGAACCGGTTAATGATGCCACAGCATACAGTCAGCAAAATCTACATGGTCAAAACCTACAGGATAAATAACCTATTTTTTCAACAAATGACCAGCAAGTAAAAGTAAAGGGGGAGGAAGGAGAGAGAAGTGATAGATTGAAAGAGATTTAAGTAACCTATCAACCAGCTGCAATAAACAGATTTTACTTGGAACTCAATATAACTGAAGGTTTTTGACACATCCAGAGAAATTTGAACAATGACTGGATACCTAATAATGTTAATTTTTAAGGTGTGATGATGATATTTTGATTATGTTTTTCAAAAAAAGTCTTTATCTTTTAAAGGTAAACACTGAAATAGTTATGGATTTAAAGAAAGTGAAACTTTCCTTGGAATTTGCTTCAAAACAGTCTGGGAGAGAGGGAGTGGGCAGGGTGGGATGAAACAAGACTGGGCGGCACTGACAGTTACTGAAGTGGAGTGATGGGTAAGCATGGGCTCGTTAAAATACAATCGCTAATTTTATACGTGTTTGATGTTCATAATGAAAGGGGAAAAAAATCCAGGGAACTGTGATGGGCTCCGGTGAACATGCGTATGTTAGTAAACTAAGCGATCATCATGCGTGTAGGGTGGCACAGGGAAGGCCTACTGTGGCCATAATGAGAAACATCCCTGGGTGTGCTTCCCACACCCTACCCACGTGGGCGTCGCTGTCTAGGGCAAAACTCTTACACACCATTTGCATACAGCAGGGAGAGGTTCTGAACAGAGGGCATCAGGTTTTAGCTTCTGCCAAATAGAACTTCCCCTTGAACGCCCCACTTCCATTCGAACAGTCCAACCCACCCCATTTCAAAACCCGGTAAAATTTCAAACTACCCACCCAAACAAGCAGACACCACAAAAAATATGAAGGGCCAGAAAAACCAAGAAAGGGATAAGGAAAGTATAAATAACAGGGGAGCCACAAACCCCTACCACCTCCCACCCAAGTGATGAGTGGGCTGTGGGATGACCAGGGACAAGCATCTGCTAGCCAAGTTCCTTTTACCGGTCCCAGGACGGTGGCAGGGACACTGCTCCCAGGACCAACCCACCCCCAGGCCACAGGAGCTGTCCTTTTCACTTCTCATCTGGGCTCCCTGGGAGCTCAGCAAAGGTGTCAGGCACCAACGGAGCAGTGAAGATGCTAGAAGAGCCTAAAGATGAAAGACCCTTTCTTTCTTGTGGTCGCTGGTTTTGGGGGGAAGCTCATTCATTTTTCCCTGACAGTACAGCATCCTCTATTTAGCGTGAGGAATGAGATTCAGAAATAGAAAGCACTAACTGTGCGGTCCCCTCAGAGTAATTTTACCTAAGCGTAACCTACAATTAGAGGAGTTTGTGGACAGCTGCGTGGATCTTCCTGGCCATCTAAAGGGGGAAAGGGCTAGACTCAGGGTGAGGCCACATTCACCCATGTGACCTGTGCCCAGCTGGAGAGGAAATCAGGGAGGGGCGCTGGAACACACGTTTCACACCTAGCCATCTGGCTCTCCACGTGACATTCGTTACCCTCTATATCCTCACGGGTAAACCAGAACTTCCCTGCTTCTTTTTTGACACATTTTTTTAAAAGTAGGCTCCACACCCAACGTGGGGCTCAAACTCATGACCCCAAGATGGAGTTACATGCTCCACTGAATGAAGCAGCCACGAACCCCTACAACTTCCCTGCTGCTAATCTCTTTCTTTTCATTCAGTTCCTCCTGATCAGCAAATACCTTTGTCTATTTATCTTCACCCTGACAAACTCCTTAGCTCTCTGCCATCATAAACCATCCAATTTCCACAAGCTAAACTCTTCATTCTGTTATCAAGGGAAGAAGTAGTCAAGAGGTGTGACCCCACCAAGAAGACCAATGAGCACCTTTCGGGTGATTGCATAGTGTCCTTTGAGCTCATGCAGGGCCCACTTGATGTCCTGACTGCTGAGCATTTTGAAGTCGGCCATCAGGAGGTCAGCAGCTTGGATGAAGCAGCGCTGGTCAAGAGGAGCCAATTTAGAATAGTCAAAAAAGTCTAGTTTAGGCAACTGAAACGAGAGAGGCATAACGTTAGGAGAACAGAAGTGCATTTCCCATGTGGCACAAATCACTTTAAGAACTGCTTATTACAAGGGGCGCCCGGGGGGCTCGGTCGGTTAAGCATCCAACTTCAGCTCAGGTCATGATCTCGCAGTTTGTGGGTTCGAGCCCCACGTCGGGTTCTGTGCTGACAGCTCAGAGCCTGGAACCTGTTTCGGATTCTGTGTCTCCCTCTTTCTCTGCCCCTCCCCCACTCACGCTCTGTTCCTCTCTGTCTCAAAAATAAACGTTAAAAAAAATTAAAAAAAAAAAAAAAGAACTGTTCATTACAAAATAGAATACTCTCACTTGTACTGATAATCACTCTATGGGGGTTACCAGCCCTGCACAGAGATGAAGAAATTGATGGTTCAGAGATGCTAAATAAGCTGCCTAGAGTCCGGTGACTAGTTTTACCAGCCAGAACTAGTAAAAAAGTATAGCTATGGATTTGAAACCAATCTGTCAGTCATCTTCTTTCCACAAAATGTTCAGAAAAAACTAGTACTTCTGTTACAGAATATGTAGAAGAGTCAAAATAAGGTGTGGAGAGTAGGACTGAGCAGCCATGAAGCAGTTCTGTTCTAGACTTTCCTTTCCACCTGACACACTAAATACCAGTTAGGATTACAAATAAAAATGATGATTAAGATTTTAGCAAATCAAACTGTTTATACCGTGATACAGGATTTAGTTATATAGGTACATGCACTGTATATAAATCTCACATCAAAAGAAAAACTATAAACAGACAATGAACTCTAGGCAATGAAACGCATGCTTAAGTATGTACGGAGAAGTGGGGCGCCTGGGTGGCTCAGCTGGTTAAGTGTCCAACTTCGGCTCAGGTCACGATCTCACGGCTTGTGAGTTAGAGCCCCGTGTCGGGATCTGTGCTGACAGCTCAGAGCCTGGAGCCTCTTCAGATTCTGTGTCTTTCTCTCTCTCTCTGCCCCTCCCCCACTCACACTCTTTCAAAAATAAAAAAACATTAAAAAAAATTAAAAAGTGCTTGGATCATTTAAAAAAGTGTGTATGGAGCAGTGTTGATGTTTTTGTGATTTACTTTGAAGTGCATCATAATGAAATGAAATATAAGAGAGATGTACTGACAGACAACTGGATATGTCCTTCTATGGGGTGGATATTATAAAGTGGATATATTGGGGCGCCTGGGTGGCGCAGTCGGTTAAGCGTCCGACTTCAGCCAGGTCACGATCTCGCGGTCCGTGAGTTCGAGCCCCGCGTCGGGCTCTGGGCTGATGGCTCAGAGCCTGGAGCCTGTTTCCGATTCTGTGTCTCCCTCTCTCTCTGCCCCTCCCCCGTTCATGCTCTGTCTCTCTCTGTCCCAAAAATAAATAAACGTTGAAAAAAAAAAATTAATAAAGTGGATATAATAAAATGTTAACTTTTACTAGTACTGCTGGTACTTGGGTATAGAGGTGATCCATGTAAAATTCATTTGGCTTTACTTACCATATGTTTGAAAATTTTCATAATAAAATATTGAAAGAAAAAAAGAAATGAAAAATCTTGGCCAATTCTGGTTTCATTTTAAAAACTTGCTTTGTAAGACTAAAGATATGGAGGGTTTAACTTTTGTGGGAAAGAGAAGATGGAGTTACAGTAAAAGAAGTTAAATACAGAAGCCAAAGTGGCTCAGGAAAGAAATCCCACTGAAGGAGAAGTATATTCTGAAATCCTGTTTTGCAGACTGGTCTTTAAGGATGTGTTCTGACCAAGCACTTTCTTCCCACAAAAATGAAAACAGCAGAGCACTTCCAGGTAGAGACTGCAAACAAAGAGCACGACACTTGCCTTGGTCTCATCTTGGCTGGCAAGCAGGCTGCTACTGGGGTTGATAATGACTCTGTCTTCCCTCTTTGGATAATCTGGATTTTCCAGAAGAAAATTACAAAGTCTGTAAAAATAAATAACATTATTTTCATAGCGCTTCCAAATCCTACACTGCCCATTGATTCAAATACAACGATCGAAAAATAATGTGCCCTGTCATACACTATGATTGGCTTAAGAAATTAAAATGTGGATCAGAAAAATGAAACAAATCAAAAAGATACACTTACTTTCTACTTTTTGCTTCTAACTTTAAAAAGCAATAAGCATACTAAAAACGCACACTTCTCTGAAGTTTTCTATTAGTCAATGTAATGAAGTCACCGAAATTCTTACTGGTTTAACTGGATGGAGCTGGAGAATCTAGATGAAGAGGATCTACCGTTTGTCAGAAAACTCTAACAAATAAAGGATGGGAAAACGTATTCGCATTCATGATTAAAAACAGTTTGCTGGGAGCCTGGGTGGTTCAGTCGGTTGAGCGTCCGACTCTTGATTTCGACTCAGGTCATATCTCAGGGTTGTGGGATCGAGACCTTTGTCAGGTTCTGTACTCAGCGTGGAGCCTGCTTGGGATTCTCTCTCTCTCTCTCTCTCTCTCTCTCTCTCTCTCTCTGCCCCTCACTGCTTGCATTCTCTCTCTCTCACTAAAATAAAACAAAGAACAAAAACCAGCTTGCTAAGTAAATAAATGGAAAAATTAACCTTCTATTAATATTTTTTTTTAACCCTATGGCAATATAAATCCCCATGAGCAATTTGAGTGACATTCAGTTTACACAGCTAACTGCAAGGCTGAAGGAACAGGCCATGTCTGCTTAAGAATGGACTGTCTTTTGGCTAAAATGAACAAATCAGGAGACTATAGATGCTGGCAAGAATGTGGAGAAATGGGAACTCTCTTGCACTGTTGTTGGGTATGCAAACTGGTGCAGCCGCTCTGGAAAACACAATGGAGCTTCCTCAAAAAATTAAAAATAGAACTACCCTACGACCCAGACGTAGCACTGCTAGGAATTTACCCAAGGGATCCAGGAGTACTGATGCACAGGGGCACATGTACCACAATGTTTACAGCAGCACTTTCAACAATAGCTAAATTATGGAAAGAGCCTAAATGTCCATCATCTGGTGAATGGATAAATAAGATATGGTTTATAGATACAATGCAGTGCTACTTGGTACTGAGAACGAATAAAATCCTGCCATTTGCAGCAACGTGGATGGAACTGGAGAGTATTATGCTAAGTGAAATAAGTCAGTCAGAGAAAGACAGATATATGTGGAAGATGAGAAACTTAACAGAAGACCGGGGGGAGGGGAAGGGGGAAAAATTACAGAGAGGGAGGGAGGCAAAC